CCATCATACTGGACGCTACATTTGTGAGAGCGCAAACAGGCATGATACCAAACTTTCGAAGGACCTCAGCTCCTTGCTTGCTGTTCTCATCAGCCTCTGAACTTTGATACATCAGTGTAGATCAGCAATATTGAAGGGGGAGGCAAAGAGCGCCACTATTACTGACCGCGACCAGCGTCCAGAAGGCCTTTCCTTTGTCCTACAATGAGCAAAGTTGCATGAGCAAAGGCTTCTTAGCTTTCGAAACCAAGCCCGGGCGGAGCAGCGCCTCGGCAAAGATGTACAGGCATCTCCTTTTCAGCATCGTCGCGGATCCTCTTGTTGGTCTTGACTAGGTCAATCACTGTGCGAACCATCTTCAACTCTTCCTGCAAGAGCCAAGGTGCGGCGCCCAGCACGCGTTAGTCAGTCGCTACGAATGGCTAGTGCAATGACGCAAGGGACTCACATCGATACACAGAGGACTCGTCTGCATGTAGCACCCACGAGAAGCAAACATCATACGGCATCAGTCGATTCAGCCACGACAAGGCCAGGCGCATATGGACGGCGTTGGACAGTAGTTTCAAGCGTGCGGCGTCCGATGTGGGTGTCGGAGGTGATCAGTGACCATTCAAAACGTTGATGAGGCATGTGGAGGAAATGAAAGTGGGCGCACAAAGAGCGTCTGGTCAGTCGCTGTCTGACGGCTCAACGTCGCTCACTTCAACTGCACATCGGCGGTTGTGAACTCACGTCCTCGTTAGAGCTCTGCCAATGCCAACGGTAGAGGGTGGATTTCCGGAGAAGGCGATACAGAGGCAATGTTGGTTGAGACTGTCAGCGGATTGCTGATCAGTGTCGTAGTCGCGCCAACGATTGCGGCACGTCCCTTCAGATCGAGAGGCTACCGTTGACGCTTCGTTACGAGCTCTTCGGAAAACAAAGTGCTTGGCACCGAACACCCACCCATGAAGTTGATGAGGAGCGGCAAGGAACTTCGCATACCTCATAGCCACGTCAAAGCATAGCGCGCAAACGAGCGCACCACGGCGACTAGTCTGGCTATCGAGGCACAGAGTGGACAAGCCAGGCCCGAGGACCTGCTCGCCGCATCCTTCTCACTTGCCAACCCCCTCCACTCAAGCAAGAAGGACACTACTTTCACAAGTGCTACTCACCGACATGATGCTGATGAACGTGGTTGGGGTGTCAAGAAGCTGAATGTTTTGCAAAGGAAGTTGGTCATTGGCAACAAGGTTGGTTTGAATGTGTTGGTTGACTGTTCTTGTGAAGTCCAGACGCGTGGATGGTGATTGGAGTGGTCAACCTGAGAGCGGCAATGGAGGATCGGTTGGAGATGAAGGGATGGAGGGACGAAAAAATGAAGGGGTGAAGAGGTGTGGGGAGTGCTACTCACCGACATGATGCTGATGGACGTGATCAGGGTGTCGAGAAGCTGAATGTTTTGCAAAGTAAGTCGGTTGTTGACGACGAGGTTGGTTCGAATGTGTTGATAGATTGTTCTTGTGAAATCTAGGCGCGTAGATGGTGATTGAAATGGTCGATCTGAGAGCGGCGATGGAGCGTTGGTAGGAGATGAAGGGATGGAGGGAAGAGGGGAAGAGGGGAAGAGGGGAAGAGGGGAAGAGGGGAAGAGGGGATGGAGGGACGAAGGGCTGAAGAGATGTGGGATGCGGGGATGAAGTAAAGAAGTCGGGCAGCTTGGGGTTGAGAAAGACCAGACCAAGCTTGCGCTTATCGCCGGAGCCTTTGGGCGTGCGAGCAGAGCGCGCTTTGATGTGACAGCGGGACGTGTGCGCTTGTTACATCTACAGACGCTGGGCGTAGCGGTTCCGACGCATGCCACGACCTGCACGCTACATTCGGCAGCGACATTACTGGTAGGCCAGCAAAGGTTGTGGAGGAATCGCTGCTTGCACTCAAACTTTCAACGCTGCTCAATGGCCCACGCCGCTTAGACATCATGCTGCCTGGACAACTAAACCTGTGCGCGGCATGCGGCACAAGGTCTGTGTCACACGGGCACCCCGAGAGTACAGAAGTGCTCACACCTCACGCCTACTACGAAAGTACGTGTGCACATCCAAGTTCCAAGCGGCCAACAATCACCAACGTCCGAACGTTGCTGCTGGCCGTGTTGTGGATTGGCGCCGACACGCGCATTGGGCTGTCAACGGAGGTCAAAGCAGCATGCGCGATCTTCGACGGTCCGCTCCACACGCATCATGTGCTTCCGGCGGTATAGGCACCCTGGCTAGATCGTGCATGCCAAGGGGCTGGAGAAGTGCCACCGTGAGGCACATGCAGCAGCCTCAATACCACGCTTCACGCAGGGCTCTGACTGATTGCGCATGCGCGTCTTCAAAGCTCTTGGCTGACCTGGGGATCAACACACTCATCAAACTGAGCTCAGCATGGATAGCATCGCCGTGTTACCTGCGCGCAGTCAAGTCGTGAGTCCTTCGGCTCAATTCCAGACCTGTTGGCACATTCACATTCAGGTTCACACTTGTTGACATCCGAATCAGAATCGTCCGCGTGAGAATATGCACGATGCCTTGCATGCGTGGAAACGACTCTGCCGTGAGAAATAGCACCACGCCACTATGAAGTTTGACTGGTGCTAAGACGTGAGCCGGAATGACCAACGATCACGCGCGACGACGTCTGGTCTTAACATCGCGCCGGCGCGAAGAGCACGCACATATCGCATCTTCAAGTTCACGAAGCGCTTAGCGACTCGGGCCTGCTGCTGTGGCAAACCGCTGGAGCGGTGAGTGCTGAAGACGTACTTGCGCTGTTGGGTCGCTCACCTGATGTATGAGGCCATGTCTTCACCTTGCTGCCCCACGCATGACTTGACGTTGTTCGAGATAGACCTTGAGCAACACCTTTCACGATCCTGGGCCTCAAGAACTTGCCTTTGGCCAGTCCATTGGCGAAGCGCTGCGAGAAAATCGAAACGCATCAAGAAGCAATCATGGAGCAGTTTGCTAAGCGATGCACAGAGTCTGTTGAGAATCTCGGAACTCTGTGTACGCGAAGCTTGCGACTTGCACCAGCTTTGCGTTGCAGAGGAGCACGTGGCGACTCGGCAATCGAGCACACAACGTTCTGATCGACGTTGCGCTCTTCGCACAGCGCACGGCACGCCTGCGCTACGAGGTCAAAGCGCAAGTAAGAAGTATACTCGACAATGGCTCCGGAAGTTGGCCCAGCAATACTTTCGAGCGCAGTCACCTCGAGAGCGCTCGTCAGCAACTCCGATCACCAGCATCGCTAGCAGCAGTCTAACGACGACGACGCCTCTCGGAGCCTCTGCACAGACTCGCGGCCCAAGTTGCCCTGCAACGTGGCATTCACGGCACGTGTCCATGCTTCGAAGTTCAACGTGGACTTCAGTCTGAGTGGTGAGCGATTGAGCGGTAAAATTTGCCAACCTCAGTGCTCCTGGCTCAACTTGCTATCTGCTTCAACAATCAGCTCACATCAATGACGTCAGACGTCGCATTCACAATTGAAGAAACATTAGTATCTGGTGTCGAGTGGCATACATGCTACGTCAATGTCAGCAGGGCCGGCCAACATCTGGTCCGTGTTGCAACAAACTCCTTGGATACTTTAGCGTCATTGCCGTTCGATTCGCTTCCCGTTTGTTCATCACTTGATGTTGCGAAACACTTCGCCTCTCTAACGCTTCTCCGCGTCGCTCGGGCTTCCAGTCAAGCACCGTATAGCACTCTCAACCCTGTCTACGTCTACACAAACCGAGTCTCGTGCCTCGGCATCTCTCCGGTCATCAGGCTTCACAAGCCCAAGTGGAACTCAACACCGCTGAAAGGATTTTGATATTCAATTCGTCCACACAAGGTCAACGGAAAATCGTTAATGAGTAGCGGCTCCAGCTCGAGAATGTAAATTCTCACAATATGCCCGGAATTGCCTGACCTGGACGAGGAGAATTGCGTTGATAGAAGAGTACACTGAGTGGGGTCGCGAAACCTGATGTGCGTGCTGGTGCTGTGAATTTTGCCTTCGAGGTGAATGGGAGATATGTCATGATGCGCTGGTAAGATGATACAGTGGGGCCGCAGAAGCTGATGTGTGTGATGGTATACAAATTGCTGGTGTGCACCTCTGGCTGCTGAGACTTTTGCTTCCAAGGCGAATGGAGGATATGACATGTTGCGTTGATAAGATGATACAGTGGGGCTGCGAACCCTGGCGTGCGTGATGGTATCCTTGTTTGCTGCTGGATATCTAAGTCGAGCTAAGCTAGCTGGCAAACTGTTTGTCGATCTCGAAAGCTCCATCAGCTTTGCTTCCAGTCTCATTGGATCCGTCCCTCACTTCGAATCCTTGTAGTGCGTTGTGAGAGGCATCTAGCGCATCAAAGAGCTTGAATCTTTGGGCATTGTGGACAGGGGCTTGAGGGTCCTTGTTGCCCTTGTTGAGCTGTTGCAGCTGAGACTGAGCAGCATCATGCTCACTCTCAGCAGCAACCAAGAGGTAAGCAGCTTCTGAGCCAATGACCATGCTTGTGTCCTGTGCAAGGTGATTGATCAGCTCGTCCACATTGTGCTTGAGTCTGATGGCTGCTTTGAGAGCCTTGGCCTTATGATAGACCTTCTCTGCTGGCACTAGAGCGTCCCATCTTTCTTGCTCAAGCTGTAGTGAAAGCAGACATGACAGCATCAGAGTGGGTAGATGCAAGTAGGTAGACTTTGATAGGGGATGGTCACTCATGTCCACTCTACATGAAGCACCATTGCACACTGATGAAGGGGCCTCTGAGCTTGTAAGGGCCTTGGCTGGAGGTCCAGGGTCAGATGGCAAGCAATGAGGGTGCAAGCATCCATCAAGTCTGGCAAAGTTGTTGGCCTACAACATGACTGGTGCTTTGGTCAGAGAGACTCCTACTGCTTGCAACAGAAGCTAGACTCATCCTCAAGGTGGACTTGACGGCATTGCAAAATTCCTGATTGGTCTTCATGCAAAGGACTATGGCACAAGCAGGATCGGCTTGTGCTTTGGCTGACAAGATAGTGAGGCATGAGAGATGATCGTGAGTCAAGAGCCTGAGCATGCATAAGATGAAGCAATTGTCATGTTGCGTGCATGCCTGCGCGCACCAAGTCCTTGTCTGTGCAAGGCAAGAATCTCTCTCTTGTGGTCTTCATCTTTTGGCTGGTCCCTTCCTTTCTCAAGGTTCAAAGATGTTGGCAAGTGGACTTCTCTAAGTATCCTGGCAGGCTCAGCCGCACCGCTTGGTGTCAAGCACTGGCAAGGGTGCGTGCAATCGTCGTCTGAAATGATGTACGCTGTAGAGCTAGTGTCGTAAACTAAGACCTCTACCGCGAAAAATGCACCGGAGGCAGGTGCTGGGGTGCTACTCAACGTCAGCAATGCCTGGATGCTTCGGCGTGTTGAGTGTGTCATCCTCCTCACTGTCAAGCAGCCTTGCCAGTGCCTTCGGCCCTGATCAATGTCGTCGAGTTTGCTTCGAGAGAAGCTCTTGACATCAAAGATCGATCAGTCACTGAGCACTCTCACCCTTCATCCATTCGTCTCGTCACATCCATCCTGTTTAACCGCCGCCACAATGCCAGATCGTTTCAAAGGTGAGAGTGGTACGTTGCATCGACTCTGAGGACAACATTACTGACCGTCTCGTCTCTGTGTCAGGATGTTCTGACCAAGCTGGTCTTCAGAGTAAACGTCACTTTCGTCAAGGCTCTCATCGAAGCTGCCAAATCCGACCCCGCCCAGTACCGGGCGGTCAAGGATCTAATCTCCGACGACGCGTTCTGGCATCTGGTTGACCGTCAAAGTGCTCCTGGCCCAGAGATCTCCTGGCTCAAATCGAGCGCTGGGTCTTGCACCGCCGACCTTGAAGCAGCTCTGGAGCACATAAAGGTGATCTTCAAAGTGAACGTCACTTTCGTCAAGGCTCTCATCGAAGCTGTCAAATCCGACCCCGCTAAGCACCGGGGCGTCAAAGACCTGATCCCCGATGACACATTCTGGCATCTGGTGGACGGTCACGGTGCTCCTGGCCCAGAGATCTCCTGGCTCGAATCGAGCGCTGGGTCTTGCACCACCAACCTTGAAGCAGCTGTGGACCACATAAAGGTGAGTCGCGAACTGAGGACCCCGCTAAGCACCGGGGCGTCAAGGACCTGATCCCCGATGACACATTCTGGCATCTGGTGGACGGTCACGGTGCTCCTGGCCCAGAGATCGTCCAGCTTGAATCGAGCACTGGGTTTTGCACCGCCGACCTTGAAGCAGCTCTGAAGCACATAAAGGTGAAACTGAGCCAGCTTAATGTTCTTGTCACTGATCTCTGGATGTCCTCATGTCCTCAGAACGCCACCAAGATCTGGGCAAAGATGGATCCTTCTAGCAAGGTTCTTGATTTCCACAAAACCATCAAGAACTGTCAAGCCATTGCAACACTTGCCAAGGAGCTGGAAGATGTTTTAATGCAGGTCAATGCCATCATCTCAGAGCATGATGTGCCTGCTACCTGCTCACACCTTGCAGCAGAGCTCTCCATGGAGGAAGCAAAGGCGCTGCTGGAGAAGGTGAAGAGCATGGAGAGCGTGCAGAAGACGAGGACAGGGAACGCAAACAATGCTCGTGTTTGCAGCTGGCTTTGTGGACTAGGCTGGCACAAGCTTGACAAGGCAGAGGCTCTCTTGGACAAATTTGCAATGGTGGATGAGGATGTTGATGGAGAGTTTGAGCTCAAGGAGGGATACAAGTTTATGGAGCTTTTGGACAATTCTCATGAATGTGACTGTCAGTCATGTGGTCATCAGAGTTGATGGGCTGGGGCGTTGATGGTCCGGCTGCCCTGCTTGTGCCGAGTCCGACTGGGTGTGGTCGCGAGTGCTGGTTGGTGGCAAGAGATGCTGAGGCCTTGATGATGGGACTTGTGCGTCTTGTAAACGAGTGTATGGTGGATGTTCGTGAGCACTAGTTTACACCCAGCGCGTTTGGGAGTCCAGGTCAGAGATATTGCGTGAAGTCTGACCTCCCAAAGCCACGCAAGCGTGGGCGATGTAGAGCGTGCGTATTATGTGATAGGAGCTCGGTCCCTCGGGCGCTCATCGCAGAACCACGAGCATCACTCTTGACTTGTGGCTATCCAGCTTGTCAAGACTCAGCACTCACGCACCTTGGGGTCTCTGGGCTGAGCTGAAGTTGCTCAGTCAAGAGTCAGAGTGTGAGTCAGGGCCAGACAAAAGAAGGGGATGACTCTTGACTAGCCTTTCGGTCCTGAGTCTCCACCGCACGCCATGCTTGATCCTGGTTCTTCTCTATCGACCTAGATCTGACCACTACACGCAGCCTCTGGATTGTTGCCTCGTCCATCATTCGCCTTCAACCGACACCCGAAGGCTCACAACCTCTGAAGCAGGGCTGTTACGTGCCGCGTGCTTCATTCAGACCTCAACAACGGCGTTGACTGCGTTGGTTTGCTCATGTTTGCATGCACAGTTCCAAACTATGTTGTGGCTAGCTTTGCCAGTGGATATGTAATAAGGCTGGACAAAGGGATGCTTGTGAGAGACTCTAGAGTGTGCAGATTGGGGCAGCAGGGATACAGATCATAGCTGAGTTGAGTGATGCCAGTAGTTGATGTAATAAGAAGAGGATGTGCGATGCAGAGGTGGACTGTGGATGGCGATGAGTATTAGGGGGTAAGAGAATGCATGACAGCTGGCTCAGACTGCGTTGGTTTGCTCATGTGTGCATGCACAGGTCCGAACTATGTTGTGGCTAGCCTTGCCAGTGGATATGTATTAAGGTTACAGTAAAGGATGTTTGTTGAGAGACTCTAGAGCTTGCGGATCGGGGCAGCAGGGATAAAGATGATGGCCGAGTCGAGTGATGCCAGCAGTCGATGTAGTAGGGAAAGGATATGCGATGCAGAGGTGTTAACTGGATGGCGAAGAATGGCGGGGGGCTAAAGCTGGACCCAAAGTAGACTTGGGCTGTATGAGAGGGGAGAGGGTGGGGGAATAGCGAGACAGTGCATGGCAGCAGTTTCACATATGCTTGTTGTCGAAGCAGCCCACGACGTGAATTGGTCGTTGGGGCAGGCGGATGATCGTGCTCCTCGGACTTGATCGCATCCAGCAGACCGGTCCGAACAATAGGAAGCAGCGGCGGTGGGGTCTAGTCGTCAGTACGACGCTTGACGCTGCGCTCAATACCTAAGGTAGCAAAGGAGTACAGGTAAGACGAAGCTTATGACCAGGACGTAGCTTGAGACTCAAGACTCTCAACACCGCAGTCATCCTCGCTGACCAGACCCTCAACCCCGCTATCGTCGGAAGAAGCAACCTCCTGCTCGTTGTCCAGCTCTGTGAGCGCTGCAGATGGCAGGGACATGAGCGCAGCGCTTGAAGGGGCAATAGCCAAGTAAAGGTTGCGCTGGTTGGCCTCCAGTCGCCCGCGGATAGCGCTCTTTGCCTGAGCCACAGTGCAGATCAGCAACTTGTCTGCTTTGCTGCGAACCAAACGCAACAGACGCACCTTGGCAGCTTCGAACTCGCAAAGGTCGTGAGCCTCTTGAGCGCACAGCTCGAGCCTAACACCGCTATCGTCGGAAGAAGCAACCTCCTGCTCGTTGTCCAGCTGTAACGGACGGCCCGCTCCATTAGCTGCGCCCATTACACACACCGTTACACGCACCGTTACACACACCGTTACACACTCTGTCACAAACACAAACTCCGTGACGCACACC